AAGAAGAAGAAGAAGAAGAAGAAGAAGAAGAAGAAGAAGAAGAAGAAAGAAGGATGAAGATAGTTTCAGAGAATCCTAGTGTTGTGAACATAGTGAAGCCAGGTGATGAGGGCTGCTATAGCTGGATGTTTGGGGAGGGCTCAGTGGGAGACAGTCAGGCAGAGCTCAAAGGACAACATGTTCTGGGCAGAGGGACCAGCAAGTGCCAATGGCCAGGGGCCAGGTGATTCTGATATGTTCAGAGTCCCAGTGGTGGCTGCAGGGTGTGTGTGTGTGTGTGTGTGTGTGTGTGTGTGTGTGTGTTGGAGGTGAGGCAAGAGATCTAGTGGTGGGCAGGCAGCCCTGGGATGAGTAAGCCCTGCAGGTCCCATAAAGAATTTTGGTATCAAAATGCCTGGGGGGGAGGGGTGTGTGTGGGGGGTATTGCTTTGAAGCAAGGGAATGACATGATGGGATTAACCTTAAAAAAAAAAAAAAAAAAAGATTCCTCCTGGAAAGAATGGGGAGAGGGGGTAGGTGAGACTGTTGCAGGGTGGAGGTCAGGGGTCTGGGGTGGGTTACTGGGAAGAGTGAAATCAGGGAAGCCAGTAAGAGGCTGCTGGCAGTCCAACCCTCTCCTGCTTTATTCTCTTTATGGCACTTAGTCAAACGCAATAGATAGGATTATACATACATAAGTAATAATTGTTCGTTAATAATATCTAACACATATATGTTAGGTAAAAACTATGTACAGTAAAATGCCCAAATCTTGATTTTACATTAAAATCAATTAATTTAAAACCCATGCAAACACCCTCATAACCACCACCCCGATCGAGCTACAGAGCACTTCCGGCACCCTGCAAGGCTCCCTTGGGCTCACTGTCAGTTGTAGGGCGAAAGGTAACACTCTCCAGACCTCTTCTGTTCTAGATTAGTTTTGCCTGCTTTTGAACTTCATGTAATGGAATCACACAGTATTCTTTTCACGGCTTCCTTTGCTCAGCATTTTGTGCCACTCTGTCTATTTCACTTATTTATTATCTGTCTTCTTCCTAGAGCTGCTCATGCTTGTCCAATAGCAAATCACGAGTCGCAAGAGTGACTGAAGTTAAAATTAATTAAAGTCAAGCAAAATTTAAAGTTCAGCTCCTCGGTCACACTCGCCGCATTTCCAGTGCTCATTAGCCACACGTGGCTAGCGATCACCAAATTGGAACCTGCAGAAAAAGCACATTTTCGTCCTTGCCAAAAGTTCTACTGGACAGCTGCTCTGGCGTGCCAGCTCCAGGAGGGAAGGCGTGTCTGGGCATTTCTGTTTGTTTTGTTCCCAGCTGGATCCCCGGTGCCTGAAACGGTACTTGGACACAGCAGGTGCTCAGCATTTGCTTGTTGAATGAACTGAACTTGTCAGAGAGATGATGGTGGCAGTGACAGACGATGTGATGGCCTAGCGCTGGGGATCGCTGGTGTGGGTGAGTGTGGGGGAGGAGGGAGCCTGTAGGTGCCGTGCAAGCTCGACTGAAAAGGTAAGTAGGGGGGGCTCCTGGGTGGCTCAGGTTAAGCCGAGTGCTGACAGCTCAGCGCCTGGAGCCTGCTTTGGATTTTAGGTCTCCCTCTCTCTCTCTCTCTGTCCCTCCCCTGCTCGTGGTCTCTCTCTGTCTCTCAAAAATAAATAGAAGATAAAGAAAAATAAACATTAAAAAAAAAGGTGAGTAGGAGCTTGCAGAGAGAAGGTTGTGCCGCGGAAGGAACCGCAGGAGCCAAGACGGGAAGGCCTGGATCACCCTGGTGTGTGTGTGAGCGAGAAGTAACCTATCTGCGGGACTCTAAAGGCAAACCTGTGATATCTCTTTGGTCCCCCTTTGGGAAAAATCCGGCGCCCCTCCGCACAGACATCCGCCGTCCCCAACTCCAGCCCGGGCGAGAGTGGGGGCGGCGGTGAGGGCGCAGCGCGGGAGGGGAACCTGCAGGGAGGAAGCCCGGGGGCGCCATCTCCCCGCAGGACGACAGGGAGACCTGCGTCCAGAGCAAGAAGCGCAAGAGTGGGTGCTGTCGCCGGGAGACCGAGGGCTGCGAGTCGCACTGCGCCCCCTAGGGGTCCGAGGGCAGCGCGCGTCACCCGCAGGTGGGTGGTGGCGCCCCCTGGGGGGCGGGCGGGGTGAGCGGGGAGGACCCCCGGAAAGGAGGGGCAGGGGCGGACCCGGAGCCCAGGGGAGGGTGCGGGGTCGGCGACGGCGACCCGGAGCGGGGAATTGTCTGCTGCGACGGCACCTCCCAGCCGCTTGGGGGAGCCTGTGGACCGACCCAAGGTGGGACCCCACGCCAGGGGCTTGGAATCCAGATGGTTTGTTGTTGTTGTTTTTGTGTTTATATATTTTGAGAGAGAGAGGGTGTGAGTGTGAGCGGGGGAGGGGCAGAGAGAGGGGGACAGAGGATTCCAAGCCGGTTCCGCTCTGACAGCGGAGAGTTGGAAATGGGGCTGGAACTCACCAAAGGTGAGATCATGACCTGAGCCCAGGTAGGATGTTTAATCGACCGAGCCACCCAGGCGCCCCCATGCTTCTCTTTCTGATATAAGTTCCCCTTTTCAGTGGGTCAACTCTGGAAGTAGCATTGTCAATTGGCACAGGTAGAAGGTCTGGTCCTAATCATGGTTCTCAGCCCACCCTTCTCAACAGCCCCACGGGCTCTGCTGTGGCTCCAGGTGTTCTGGCCCAGAGGTTGTGGGCTGGGGTAGCCTCTGAGCTGGGTGTGCAGGAAAGGGGTGTTGGCTTGCTCATGAAAGGACTTCAGGAGACTAGATGGAGGTCCCCTGTGGGAGGGTGTTTTTTCACTCGGGATAGACACCTGGGCTAATGACAGGAAAGGTGATGCCAGAGAATGAACTAGGAGGGCACCAACAATCCTAGGGGTCAGCCTGGAGGAGGCAACCAGAGGCACAGACTGAACAGTGCATGAAGGGGTCCCTTAAGCCCAGGCTCCTCTGCTGTGTGCAAGCAGATGGTCTTGCAGGGGAGCACTTGCAGGGGAGTGAAGGCTGCCCCCTCAGGGCTGAGGGCAAAGCAGCCCCCAAGGTCAAGGTCAAAGTCCTGTCTTTCGCAGACATTCCTGGGTCTGTATAACGAGTGTCCCTGCCTGCCGAACCTGACGTGTGTATTTCCGAAGAATGAGAAATCATTTAACATCATCTATGGCCGTTGTAAGAAAATTGAAAAAAGGAAGTCAGCTAAGAACATTTTCTTCTAACGCTCCCTCTTTGCTGCCTTCCCCACCTCCTCCATCTACTCCTACGCCTCCCCAAATTTGTGTTCTTGCCCCTAGCCCTCAGAGCCTCCACCAGCAGGGGAGGGGCAGGGAGGGAGGGAGGGAGGGATGATGCGCCATCACTGGAATAAAGACTTTTCAGTGTTTGCTGCCCCTGGTGCCAGGGGCTGGGGAGGCGTGGCTGGGATGGGCCGGGCACAGGTTGCTGGGGAGTGAAGGGGCTGAGAGGCCGGAAGCTTAGGCTTGGGCCTTTCCCCTGTTGGCGCATGAACGAAAGTCCCCCAGAGGAGACTTGAGCTCTTCTCCCCACCCCAACCCCTTTCTGGCTTCAGCCCATTCCATAAGCCACCCGCCAAAAGCTCAGTTCACACCTGAACTCTTGGTTCCCCCGACCTTAAAGGTCACAAATGTGAAAGGAAGTGTCCAAGACAAATGTGTATGAAGAATTGGCAGTCTCAGTGGGCAGAACATGTGAGTCATTCTCTGGGTCATGAACTCGAGCCCTGCGCTGGGTGTAGAGATTACTTAAAAAAAAAAAAAAAAATTGCCTGTGTTTATGGAGCGCTTACTTTATGCCGGGGGCGGTGCCAGGTCCCTTACACACAGGATCTCATTTCATCCTACAAAAAAAAACCTTAGGAGGAGGGGTCAGAACTTTGATCACCCCATCTCAGGAGAACCTGAGACAGACTGGGCAACTCGTTCACAGTCACAGCGCTTGAACGTGATGAATCGGACTCTTTTGGGAGATCAGAAGAGAAAGGAGGGATAAGAAAAGGAGAGCCAAGGAAAGAGCGTGAGGAAAAGAAAGATCAGAGCGCCGACTGTGCCATGGGGACGGAGAGACGATGATGAATCAGGACGAGTTTCCGCAAGCTGTACCTTTGGGTTGTGAGGCTTTAAGAGCCAGACGCTAGCTTGCTGGCTGTGAGTGTCGTGAATTCTCTGCAGAAGCAGGCTTCAAGGCAGCCCTGCTATATTTGGGTTACGTTCTGGGAATAATAATTCAGATTTGGGACCCAAAGTCCCATGGTTAGCTACACTTCTGATTAGCTGAGCCAAGTGTGAACCCAGATCTGAGCCAAGTATGTCCTCCAGGACGTCAGTCTTATGGTGCGAGAGCTCAGTAGTTGAGATAGAAGCTGAGGTTTACTTAAAGCACCCCCTGTAAGTCTTGGCAACACTCTAACCTTTATCTTGGCGGAAATTGCTCCTAAATGTGTCAGACAGATCCACAGTGTCACATGTACTTCAGAAAGACACAGGGCTACGGTGCATGAGCTCCCCTTATTTGGAGAAAATCTATGAAAGGCCCTTGGAAGGGGAGATTGCAGGCTGGAAACCCAGCCTCCAAGAAGACCTAATGTCTTCAAATTTAGAAGGGGAGGGGGAAAATACATTGCTGATGTGATTACATTGGTTTCATACAATGAAGAGGAGAAACTTTTCCTCTACCCTCTTAGGTTCAGTGTTGGGGGTCTGCAAATTAAACTGACAAAAGACAGATTGGCAAGAGAAAAGAGAGATTTTTTTATTCACATACATACGCATGTGGGGGAGTTCACAGAAAAAGGTGACCCGATGAGGCAGTTAGAATTTGGGGCATATATATCATCTTTATTGGGGAAGGGGAATGGGAGAAGGACCCTCTGGAAAATGGCTTCTTAATAGGGGAAGAAAGAGCACTTAGGGGAAAACACATTATTTTTTAGAAAGATAAATGGGCCCTTAGGAGAGTAGATGACAGTTATGATAGTTTTTGTGACAATGTCCATTTAGGTGTGGTGCTGACTTCTGCAGTGATAAGATTCCAGCACAAAGAGTCCATCTTTCTTGGTTGCGAGAAACTTCTCCAGGAGGGAATTTATGATAGTTGAGTTCTTTGGGGAGGCTCTGCTTTTAGACAGATGAAGGAGTTCAGAAAAATGCCTCTTCTCAAAATCCTTCAGCTTAAAAGAGCAGCACTGTCCAGCGGAAGGTGCAATGTGATTTTAAATTTTCTAATGGCCATACTTAAAAAGTAAAGAGAAACAGGTGGAACCAATTTTGACAATATACTCTACTTATAACACAATCGAAAGTGTTATTTCAACGTGTAAAAATTATTTGAGATCTTTGACATTCTTTTTTTGGTAATAGGTCATCTGAATCCAATTTGTATTTTACGCGTACCCCAATTCAAGTGCTCAACATGTGACTAATTGGTACCATATTAGACAGCATATGTCCACAGGGTCCAGCATCCAGCATTTTTTATGGATTCAAGGCTGCAAATATTGCCACTTCTGTAGCTGAATTTCTAGCAGATCTAGAAAAAAGTTACAGCAAGGTGGGGAGCTCCCGGGGTTAGGATATTAAGGTGGAAAGTATCAATGGCAAGGCTACAACCTATAGGACATCTTTATGGGAATTTGAAAACAGGGACTCCTTGGGGCGCCTGGGTAGCTCAGTTGGTTAAGCATCCGATTTTGGCTCAGGTCATGAGCTCCCGGTTCGTGGGGTTGAGCCCCGCATTGGGCTCTGTGCTGACAGCTTGGGGCCTGGAACCTGCTTCAGATTGTGTGTCTCCTCTCTGCCCCTTCCCCATTCATGCTCTCTCTCTCTCTCTCTCTCTCTCTTTCTCAAGATAAATAAACATGAAAAAAAATAAAAATATTAAGAAAAAAAAAAAAGAAAATGGGGACTCGTCTGGGCTCCAGGCTGGGTGAGAAGAAGGTGCCTTTGAACAGCAGCAACACAACAAAAAATGTTCCCTGTCTTCCAGCAGCCGTGTATTACTCAGTCTCAGTGCCGAAAACAAGGACCACTCCAGATGGTTCAAGTAGAAAGGATTTAACACAGGGAACAGGGGGTTGAGGTCTTTGCCCCTTGCTGCCACAGAGCCCAGCTTCCCACTCACCCCTGGAAACTAGGGACATTTCCCTCGCGCCCTTTATAGACTGTAACACACAGTGCTGGGCACTATGGTCATTCAACAGATGTATGAAGAAGTGAATGAATGCAGGTTCCCACCCAGCTTTGGATCTAGGCACCACGGAGTATGACCCAACCCTGCCTCAGAGTCTGAGCCCTCTACTGGGTTAAGATATTGAAAGCCCCTCCAGTTGAGCACTACCTTAGGTATGGAGGATACTTACCTGACTCCCCAACAGCCTCTGCCTCTCTTCCTTGCTAACTGAACCCCAGTATTGTTTGGCTGGTACTGGGCCCAGCCCTGGGAGAGGGATCTAATTAGCCCAAGCCAGTCATGGCGGTCCCATTCCCTTTGCCCAGTACTTGTGGGCAGCTTCCCTTGTGGCCAGAGGTGGTCCCTTGACCCAATTGGAGCCATTGAGATATGGAGAAGTCAGCCTGGAGGCTTTTGGGCAAGATAAGAAAGTAGGCTAGGAGAAATAATCTGCCCTCAGCCCCTATCCAGCCACCCTCTACTCCATGCTTCCTAACTTGAACATGGTAAGAGAATATGACCATTAGGAGCTGCCGTGAAGGCATCTGCCAGTTGAGAGGAGGTAACAGATGCACAGTTCTGCCAACACTTCCTATCTCCAGACTTCTTTTTAATGTTTGTTTGTTTGTTTGTTTGTTTGTTTGTTTAGAGAATGAGTGGGGGAGGGGCAGAAAGAGAGAGAGAGAGAGAGAAAGAGAGAATCCCAAGCAGGTTTCCTGTCAGTGGTCAGCGAGGGGCTCAATCTCATGAATCGTGAGATCACAACCTGAGCCCAAATCAAGAGTTGGACACTCAACCGACTGAGCCCCCCAAGGTGCCCCCTCCAGACTTTTTGATTCATGAGAAACATGTGTCCCTATTTGTTTCAGCCATAATTCCTTGTTTTTTTTTTTTTGTTACTTTTCAGGTAGATCCTGTCTTAACTCAGAAACCTAGTGGCTACTCTAAGGATTCCTTAATCACAGACTACAAAATCCTGGGGCTGGGAGAGCATCTCAGCTTTAATTAGTTCATTCTCTTCCTTCTTTGCATGAATCTCCTCTCCTACATCCCCACTGAGGGTCAGTGAACCTCCACTTGCACATCTCAGTGACGGGGACCTCAGTACTGCCAAAGGCAACCTAGGTTTGATGGTTTTTATGTTAAACCAAAGCCAAATTCCCTACAATCCCACCCATTAGTCTTAGTATGAATAATTGGGAAAGAACCAGGAATTGTAGAATGGGTAGGGGGGTGGAGTTAGCGGGTGTGCTGCTAACTTTTTAAGTTTTTAATTAGCAGACCTTTCTTTCTTTCTTCTTTCTTTCTTTCTTTCTTTCTTTCTTTCTTTCTTTCTTTCCTCTTTCTTTCTTTTTAAAGTTTATTTATTTATTTTGAGAGAGCACACTTGGGCCAGGGGTAGAGAGAAAGAGGAAGAGAGAGAATCCCAAGCAGGCTCTGTGTGGTCGGTGCACAGCCCCACACAGGGCTCGTTCCCATGAACCGTGAGATCACAACCTGAGCTGAAATCAAGAGTCAGACACCTTACCGACTGAGCCACTCAGGCAACCCCCAAATTTTTCTAATTATGTGACATTGAGCAAGTTGCTTAACTTCTCTGAACGTTAGTTTTTGTTTTTGTTTTTGTTTTATCTGTGGAGACGATATATTCTCCCTCCTGGATCGTTGTGAAGATTTGCTAGCAAAGAGTAAGCCCACAGCAATTGTTAGTGGTTTGACTCCTTAACACATGGGTTGTGTCAACCAGCTGGCATACCTGAGAGTTGGGTCCAGAAAGAAGATAGGACCCCAAGACAGGGGCTGGTAAATTTTGACGCAGGGCAGAGAATATGGGCCATTATGACTCCCCGCGAGAAGTGTGTGCATGTACCTGTCTGAGAACTTGGGGGGCAAGAAGGGCATCCCAGGGAGGTGTCACGGTCCCCAAATGGAGAGGTTCTCAGCATGGCTGCTTCACAACCTTGTCTCCAGTCTGTCCAGCCTCATCCCGCCTGGCCCCCCGACCCATCCCTCCTTCCTCTGACCTATTGACTTCCTCTGACCTTGATGAGGCAAAGGCTTGAGGTGACATCAAGGAAGACGCTGACTCAACAAGAACATTCAGGAGCCTGGGGAAGGTTGCAGGAAGAGCTTTAATTGCTGAGAATCCAATCAGAAAAGGGAGGTGCTGGCCAAGGGGTGGCCAGCCAGGGAGGGGTGGTGGAAGAGGGGCAGCCTTCGGTGGTTTTACTTCCGGGAGCGTCCAGCATCGTGGCAGAAGCCAAAATTGGTATTGGTGATGGAGCCCACGATGGTCTTGTCAACCTCACAGCTCAGGCCCCGCTCACAGGGACACTTGTAGTAAACCCCATACAGTGTCTGCAAAGACACAGGGCCATTGGAGTCACAGGCTGTGTGTTGGGGGGGGCTACTTTGGGCATAACGTGCCCCCTGGCCTGACCCCAAGAACCCCTGGCCAGTCTCTTTTCAGTCTGTCTTCTTCTGACTGCCACTCCAGAGGGCACTGTGGGCCCCGAGGCTGGTTCCCACCCTGTGCCTCATTTACGCTGACTACATCTCTCTGGGGATGCCTCTATTCACCCATCTGTGAAACGGGGATAACAACCCCCCCCGCCCCCATTCATCTCACCGGTCACTTGTGAGGGTCAAAGGAGATGATGGCATGGGAAAGTGCTTTGAAGCCTGCTGACCTCCCCCTCTTAATCTCAGCGTTCGGGGCCCAGGCTGACGCTCCTCCGTGATCCTATCCACAAGCTTGAGGGCCCTCCTCCTCTGAGCGGTCCCTCTTCCCACCACGACCGCCCCCACTCCGCGGGCACCCACCTTGGCAGAGCACTCGCTGTTCTCACTGGCCTTGGGTGCGCAGCGGGCCAGGCTCAGCCCCGTGCTACGGTGGCAGCACCTGCTCTTGCATTGAAGGCTGTTCAGGCAGAGCTCGCCGTCTTCCTGCCGGGGCAGCCGGTTAGCCCAGGTCCCCTTCCATTGGTCCCTTCTCTACACCCCCCCTGCCCCGCCACCCACTGCCGCTGACAGGGCCTCCCCTGGTGGGGGCGTGTGCAGAGGAACCCAGCCCCTGAGTCTGGGGGCCAATCCGCCCACCCCCAGCCCCAGCGTGTGAGAAGCGGGCAGGGTAGTGGTTGCGGGTCAGGACACGGGTTCTAGCACCCGCTGTGCTATCAACTCCCTGGGTGACTCTGGGCAAGTCACTGCCCCACACTCTGCCTCGGTGTTCCCAAAACGGGGTCTCCAAACTTCTCTGGTTCCCACGCTCCGTTGAGGAGCCTGTGAAGGGTGAGGACCTTCTCCCTGGAAAATTCCTCCCTCCCCTGACTTCTACATATAACCTCAGGGGGATCCTGGACCCTCTGAGCCATGTAAGGCCCTGAGTTAAGAACCTTTGGGTACAGAGGCAGCATGGGGCAGCGTGACAGTGTGGCTCTGGAGCCAGCAGCCTGGGCTCCAATCCCTGCTCCGTGTTTTCCAGCTGCGTGACCTCAGGCAGGTGGCTTAACCTTTCTCCACCACTGCTTTCCATCTGAAAACGGACCTGATCCGAATAGGACCTATCTCGCGTGGTCAGTATGAGGCATTTAGAACTGTGTCTGTGTGTCCCTCTAGGTCAGAAGCCAGACTCACTGGGAGAGCTTTTTAAACTACTGCACATTTCTGAGCCAGGGTTTCCAGGGCAGGACCCTAGGGCTCTAGGTTTTTCTAAAGCTCCCTCAGCCAGTTTGAACCATTGCCCTGAGCATGTCCCATGCTGGTCAGCCTTGTCTGAGGCGCCAGCAGAAGAGGGCAGGACAGTCGTGGGCAGGATAGATAGAGATGCTTCACCTCTCAGCCTCCAGGCAGCCCCAGGTGGAGACATTAGAGGTTAAGATCGAAGCTTAAAAAATCTCCACCTGGGCACATGCACCCCAATATTTATAGCAACACTATCGACAGTAGCCAAATTATGGAGAGAGCCCAAATGTCCAATGACTGACAAATGGATAAAGATGGATAAAGAAGATGTGGTGTGTGTGTATATATATATATATATATATATAATGGAATAATACTCGGCAAGCAAAAATAATAAAATCTTGCCATTTGCAACAATGTGGATGGAACTAAGAGTGTATTATGCTAAGCGAAATTAGTCAGAAAGACAAATATCGTATGATTTCACTCATATGTGGAACTTAAGAAACAAAACAGATGAACATAGAGGAAGGAGAGGAAAAATAAGATAAAAAAAACAGAGGGAGAGGTGTTGGTGGGGGCTGGGCTAAATGTGTGATGGGCATTAAAGAGGGCACTTGTTGGGATGAGCACTGAGTGTTCTATGTAAGTGATGAATCACTGAATTCTACTCCTGAAACCATGATTACACTATATGTTAACTAACTTGGATTTCAATAAAATTTAAAAATTAAAAAAAAATCCCTGCCTGGATGTTCAGATGACTCCTTCCCTGAAACCCCTCTTACCAGGTGGATAATGATTCCCCGAGGGTCAGGCACCGCGTAGGCCACTGCGAGGGCAACCAGCAGGAGGACGAGGACCTTCTCCATGATGGACGGGCACAGCCGGTGTAGGTAGCCGCTGGCAGGTCAGGTGGCAGAAGACAGACCCGGCCTGGGTGGTGGAGCTATAAAAGGGACTCTGTCCACATGTGACTCACCTTCCCCAGCCCGCTGGGCTGGACGTGAACCGAGGCCCAGCTGTGGCCAATCTGCTGGGGGGTGTGTCCTGATAAAGCAAATGGGTGACACCTCGTTCCTTGTGCATGCGTGTGCGTGTATGTGTGCACCTGTGTGTGTGTGTGTGTGTGTGTGTGTGTGCATGTGTGTGTGGTGGTGATACCGCACCAACACAGAGTTGGGTGTGGACTCTGGAACACTTTTACTTGTAAAGTTATTAGCTGGGCAAGTTATCTGTTCTGAGCCTCGGTCTCCTTATCTTCAACTGGGGATCATTTTGAGAGTTGGGAGGGCTGAGTGAGTGAATATGTCGCATATATCTTAACACACATGGGTAGCTCAGCCCCGGGCTTGGCTCTGTCATTAGGATGTGTCAGCCGCTGTTACCGGTGCTCCGTTCCCCGCTGGTGCCCGGAGCCCTGGTAGGGCTGGGACTGGGGTGAGGCGAGAGAGCACCAAGGGTGTGAGCACCCCCTTCAGCTTTGCATGTAGGCACCTCTCACCCCAGTCCAGGCCCTGCTTCTGACTCCATCCAAACCCAGGGATCAGGCGCCGGTGAGGAGGGGCCCCAGCCTCCCGGCTTCCTCAACCTTCCCAGCCTCCCCTGGGGCATTTTAGGGCAGGTCGAGGCTGCTGGGGCTGACCCACTCCGTGATCGACCGACCGCTGGAGGGGGGATGTGTGTTCTCACTTCCCACCTGCCCTCACACTGTGGGGGAAGGGGGCCTGCCTCTGTGAGTGATTTCAGGGGCCCTTAGGATGGTCCTTCTCACGCAATTGTCTCCTGTTTCCTCTTCACTCAACATCTGCAGTCCCAAACCCCTTCAGTTAAGGCTTCCACTCAGCCCGTCCCCTACCCAAGGCCACCTGTGAACGTGAGCTGTAGTCTATCCTGGCTGAGGACGAGGAAGTCTTGTGAATCGCAGATGGACCCAGGTCGGGGGAGGGGGGCTGAAGGCTGAGAAGGGTGCAGCTGCCAGAGTGTGCTCAGGTGTGGGACCAGAGCAACTTTCCCTGGACGACTGCTCACTGCAGCCAAGGATCCCATCCCAGGAGGTGGAAGACCGCCTCGCTGTGGAGGCCCTGGATCCGGTTCCCCAGAGCACAGCTTGGATCCATATTGACTTGGCTTCCAAACTCAGCCCTCCCTAGCCACGTGACCTTGGACAGGTAATTTAAATCTGTAAGCCATCTGAGCCTGTTTCCTCGAGTACCGAGTACCGAGTACCGAGGAAGATGATGTCACCTTTGTAAGGTCAGGATTAAGACAATGCAGGTGGGAGTGCCGAGCGTCTAGTAGGTGTTCTGCCCTCGTAATACCCCCACCCTTCCTCCGCCTTACGGCCCTAGAGGGTGGAATAGAGGGGAGTAGCTGGAGGAACGAGCTAGGAGACCCTCACAATGGGAGAAACCTGACACAAAAGTATCACTGATTAAAGAAACACTAGTCTCTCTTATTTTTATGGAACTCAGTGTTTAAAACCACTTTCCCCTATGAGGTCATTCTTGCCCCTCCTTCGCTTCCCACTCCCCTCCCCCCCAGTACCCCTGAGAGCAGAGCCACAAGGAGGGTAATTGCACTTTGCTTTTCACCAGTCAAGGCCAGGAGGCTGGGGAAGGAACCGGAGGAGCTCTTTCCATCTGTGATCGGAGCTGTGAAAAGTGCATCAGTCCTATCTCCGGCTGGTCACAGCCAACTCCCCAGAGGAGGAAGAATTGAGTTTTTTCCATTACAGATGAAGAGTATAGCAAAGAGAACTTTGGCCAATGTTTCTGCTTCCAAAATATAAGCAAAAATCAGATTTTTTTTTTTTAACAAATCCCCATAAGGTTTAGCCACCCCTTGCCCAATCTAAAGAGTGTTGTGCATTGCGTTTTTCCCCTTCAAAAAGGAACCCCACATGCAATCGCATGGATTAACTTCAGAGGCATAATGTTGAGTGAGGAAAGCCACAGACAGAAAACATACAGACTGCGTGGTTACGTTTACATGCAGTTCAAGAAAAGGCAAAACTAACCTATGGTGATAAAAATCTGCAGGTTTACCCCTGGGTGGGCAAATTGGCTGGGAGGCGGCAAGAGGAAGCCTTCTGGAATGTTGGAATTGTTCTAAATCTGGGTTTGGGGCATTGAGAGAGAGAGGGCATGAGTGAAAGAGGGCAGGGAGGGAGAGAGAGGCGGGAGAGAGAGAGACTCTCTGATGCGGAACTCACGAATGGTGAGATCATGACCCGAGCAGAAGTTGGATGCTGAGCTGACTGAGCCACCCAGGTGCCCCCACAGTATGTACTTTTAAAAAGTTGTGTTTTATTTTTGTTTTTATTTTTGGCCTGGCTTCTTAGCATAACACATTTGGGATTTGTGCACGTTGTGGCTGGTTTCTGTAGTTTGTTTCTACTGTTTCTGCTTCTGTTGTGTGGAATGGAACCACAGTGTGTTTATCCATTCCCGGCTGAAGGACATTTGGGTTATTTCTGAAAAATTTGGGGCAATTATTAATGAAGCTCTTATACAGGAGCACTTGGGTGGCTGGGTTGGTTAAGCATCCGACTTCAGCTCGGGTCATGAGTTCGAGCCCCGCGTCAGGCTCTGTGCTGACAGTTCAGAGCCTGGAGCCTGCTTCGGATTCTGTGTCGCCCTCTCTCTCTGCCCCTCCCCCACTCATGTACTGTCTCTCTCTGTCTCTCAAAAAAAATTAAACGTTAAAAAATGTTTTAAAAAGCTTTTATACATATTTGTGTACAGGTTTTTGTATGTGTGCAAGTTTTCATTTCTCTGGGACAAATAATCAGGAGTGAGATGGCTGAGTCTTGTGTCAAATGTTTGTTTTGATTTCTAAAAGATGTTGGACTGTTTTCCAAAAGGGCTGAACTAATGTGCATTCCCACCAGCAATGTATAAACGTTCCAAATGCCTTCTACATCCTCATCAGGGCTCGGCACTGCCGGTTTTTCAGGGTTTTTTTTCTCTTTCTTTCTTTCTGTTTTTTGTTGTTTGTTTCTTTGTTTTTGGTTTTTAATTTAGCCTTTCTAATAGATGTAAGAGCAGTATGTCATTTGCGTTTCCCTACTGGCTGATGACGTTGAGCATTTTTTCATGTGTTCAATTGCCATCCATATATCTTCTTTGATCAAGTGTTTGTATCTTTTGCCAACCAATCTTTAATGGTTTTTTGTTTTTCTTATTACTGAGTTTTGAGAGTTATCAGTGTCCTACAGGGGCTTGAAGTCTGTTGATATTATTGGGAGCCAGTAATGACTGGCTGGGTCCACCTTAGTGGGAAATCCATTCAGTCTCCATCTGTCCCACCATGGACCCCTTGTTATGAGTCTCTGAGCCAGTGCAGGGTAGGAGCGGGTGGGGAAGGAGGCTGGCTAGCATTTACAGGAGTGGGGTGTCCTGTCCAGCTGATGTTAAAAGCCTCTGCAGTAGCAAACCCTTGGAGAACATTCTTACAGGACTCAAATACTCTCTGGTTTTTGTCCCTATTTTGAGGATTCCATGAACCCTACCCCTTTCCTGAAACCCTTAACCCTCCAACCTTACTCTGTTGGAGACGATGACCATCTGGCTTGTACATTAGCTGCTGCCCACAGACTGACCTACCTCTCAGACTGTCTCTCCTTACAGGAGAGGTGGTATACTTTTTGAGGCAGCCATAACAAATTACCAACCACTTGGCAGATTGAAACAACAGAAATTGGTTCCCCTACAATTCTGAAGGCCAAAAGTCGAAATCAAGGTATCAGCAGGGCTGTGCTTTCTACAGAGGCTTTAGGGGAGAATCGGTTCCATGCCCCTTCTTGCTTCTGGTGGTTACCAGCTTCCTTGGCTGAAACCCCATCATTCTAGTCTCGACCTCCATGGTTATGTCACCTTTTCCTTTTTGTCTGGATTCTCCTCTGTGTGTCTTAGAAGGATACTTGTCATTGGATTTAGGACCCGCCTAGATACTCTGGCAGGATCTTCTTATCTCAAATCTTTAATTATAGCTGCAAGGAACCTTCTTCTCAATAAAGTAATTTTTACAGGTTCTGGGCATTAGGATGTGGATCTTTTGGGGGTAGATAATTACAGCACTAGAAGTTCTACCTTCTGGGGAGATTTCCTTTCCTCACTGTCCCCAGGGCTGTCCTGAGTGGGGTTGTCATGCCACAGTAGTCCACTCCCACCTGGCCAGCACCCCATCAGAGCTCTCTCTGGAGCAGGCGGAGGGTGGGGCTTCCACAGTGAGGGAAGAGGCCCGACTGTCCGTCCCCCTGGCCTCATACAGCAGAGTTTCACCCTCACATAGGAAGGAGGTCAGGGTGCCGGCCAGCCCAAACCAAAACAATGTGACAAGTGTCCACTAGAGACGGACATTTGTCTGCCTGCATCTTTTGAGTGACTGGTAGTGACTCATTTCTACAGCTCCCCTGGGGACATAGTGCACTTTTTGATTTATTATTCGGAGAGTAAGAGAGAATGCCGCAGGCTTTCATGTAGCTCTTCCTGGTACATTTGTCTTTAGCTCAAGGGTCAGGGAGCCAAGGTGAGGATTTGACCTGTTCCTGAGGTGATCTGGCGTAACCATTTAGAACATAGGATGGATTTCAGGCCTTGCAGTTCTGTACTCTCACAGCCCCTGAATCTTATCTTAATGGCCCTATGCCTTATAGCAACAGGTCTCAACAAATTCTCAGAGCCATAGCACATAAAGGTCTTGACTTAGGTTTTTTAAATGTTTATTTATTTATTTTGAGAGAGAGCGTGCTCGTGCCTGAGTGGGGGAGGAGCAGAGAGAGAGAGGGAGAGAGAGAATCCCAAGCAGGCTCTGCATTGTCAGTATAGAGCTGGACTAGGGGTTTGATCTCATGAACCGTAAGATCATGACCTGAACTTAAATCAAGAGTTGGATGCTTAACTGACTGAGCCACCCAGGTGCCCCTTAACTTTAAAAAAATTTTTTAATGTTTTTATTTATTTTTGAGATAGAGAGAGACAGAGCATGAGCAGGGGAGGGGCAGAGAGAGAGGGGGACACAGAATCGGAAGCAGGCTCCAGGCTCCGAGCTGTCAGCACAGAGCCCGACGCGGGGCTCGAACTCACGGACCGCGAGATCGTGACCTGGCTGAAGTCGGACGCTTAACCGACTGAGCCACCCAAGTGCCCTTATTTTATTTTTTTTTTAAAGATTGTATTTTTAAGTAATCTCTACATCCAACATGGGGCTTTAACTCACAACCCTGAGACCAAAAGTCTTATGTTCCAGTCAGGTACCCCTCATTTTATTTATTGAGTCAATAATCTAGATATTTGAGCTTGTCTTGCTTGATATTATTCAGTGCCCCCCACTGAATTTCCTAATTTCTTCATTCTCCTTATTTTATTTATTTATTTTTAGTAGGTGCTATGCCCCAACATAGGACTTGAACTCACAACCCCTCAACCAAGCGTCACATTCTCTACTGACTGAGCCAGCCAGGCACCCTTTCTTCATTCCCTTTAAATCTGTTTTGACCAAAGCCACTTGGCTCCCAGAACTTGTCCCTCAGAGGGCACATGATCTCTGGTGTTCATGGCTGACAATTTTATTAGCTATTTCTCTTCTGTGTACCATGGAACATAAACAGGAATCTCAGAGAGTTTTGCCCGAAGCCCTCTTTCTGGTGCCAATGTTTGGATCAGTTAGGGCTCTTTGGTGCCCACGGCCAAAGAGTACTCTGGCTAATGAAATGAAAAAAGAAGGAAATAGAAGGATATCGGGTGGGTCACAGAGCTGAAGAAGGAGCAGGGCAACTGTCTAGGCAGAGTGGGAATCAGGGTGTGTCTGAAGTTCCCAGTAGGAGGAACTCATGGATTGTTTCTTAGGGATGTTGCCAAGGCCTGATAAAGCAATAGCTTTTTTTCTCCTTTTGTCAGTCTACTACCAATTCAGATTCTCCAGGGAGAGACTGATGGCCTAGTTTGGGTCACCCACTCATCCTTGTCTCTAGAGTCTGTATGCCCTGTGATTGTCTCACCAGATCCTCAGGAAGCAGGAGAGTCTGTTCTCAGAGGCAGGGGAAGTTGTGCTGGGCAGGCCAAACAGAGGTGGTTCACCAGCCTAGAGCCTTCTCTGAGTGGGAGAAGATACAGTCTGTCTCTAGGGAAACTGCCGGTTTGATGGTGGACACATAGGCTGTGCCCTCAGTGACCTTCCAGTCTGATGGGAAGACTGGTCACAAAACCAAAGAGATTTAAGAGAAAGAGGAAATGTAGGCAGTGACACAAGTATGTTCAAGACAGGGTTTGGGGGGGGGGGTGAGGGGAAAGACAGGGTTTTGTTTTTCTTTAGTAGTGAAAAACTGGAAACTGCTAAAATACCCTAAAAAGGGGAAATGCTCAAACAATTAAATGATTACATACTCTGAATCAATATACACGCATTAAAATCATGTTTTTGAAAAAAATAGTAATATGAGAAAATATTAATGGTGTAATGCTATGTGAAAAAAACTGGATACTAAATTGTCCAATTGTATAAAGCAGTATATGCAGGAGGGAAATATATCAAAATGTTAACAGAGGTAATAATAATGATAAACCTTTTGAGTACTTTTATATGTGAGGCCCTGTGCCAAACAGTTTACCTGTGTTATTTTACCTAACCCTTAGGTGATAGGAACTATTCTCCCCATATTTTTTGAAAGCAGGCTCTACGCCCAGTGTGGGGCTTGAACCCGTGACCCTGAGATCAAGACCTGAGCTGAGATCAAGCGTCTGACTCTTAACCAACTGAGCCACTCAGGCTCCCTCTCCCCATTTTATAGATGAAGAAACTGAGGCTTGGGGAGGTTAAATCCACAGATAGTCATATAGCTAGTAAGTGGCTAACTCAATCCAGATGTGTCTAAAGCCAAAGTCCATGTGTTTTTTTAAAAAATGTTTATTTATTTATTTTGAGAAAGAGAGGGAGGGAAGGAGCATGAACAAAGGAGGGGCAGAGAGAGAGGGAGAGACAGAATCCCAAGCAGGTTCCACACTCAGCATGAAGACAAGCTCATGAATGGTGAGATCATGACCTGAGCTGAAATCAAGCGACAGACATTTACCTGACTGAGCCACCCAGGCAACCCCAAAGTCCATGTTTTTAAGATAATCTTGACTCCCCTTAGCTTCCAATGTTGGGGGTATGAGTGATTTATATCCTTTTATGTAGCGTTCCTGAATTTGCTAGATCCCTACACCAAACATGTATTTACCTATACAGTCATGAGAAATACATATTTTGAAAAAGAAGGGGGAAAAAGAAATATGCAACAAAAACATATAAACAGGAGAAAGATATTGAACAAAACCATTTGTTAATGGATACCTGGGTGGCTCAGTCAGTTAAGCGTGGAACTTCAGCTCAAGTCATGATCTTGTGGTCTGTGAGTTCCAGCCCCAGATCGGGCTTTGTGCTGACAGCTCAGAGCCCGGAGCCTGCTTGGGATTCTGTGTCTTTCTCTCTGCTTCTCCCCCGCTCACGCTCTCTTTCTTTCTCTCTCAAAAATAAACAAACATTAAAAAAAAAAACAAAAACCATATGTTAAAGTCTGGGAGGCCTCACAAGTATTGTCCTTTGCTATGCTTTGTAGTTCTTTAATATAGCACTATCAGTCTGCATTGCAAATATATCTACGGATATACATATATGTAAATGCCTCACTGTCTTTGAGGGCAGGACCCTCTTTTATCTCTGTGGTTTTGCCTAGGGAAGATATCCTCCAACATGGGGCTTAGCACATAGTAGGTTCTTAGAAATTGTTGATTGAAGAGAAACCATATGGACTAGAAACCAGTGACCGGAAGACACAATCAGAAGAGGTTTTGCTGGACTCCCCTGTATTGGGATTTCTGAGAGGGCGACTAGGGAGCCAGGGCGGGGTTGGATGGGATGGGGGAACAGTGTTCAAGAAGAGGTTTTGGTTCTGCGGCAGGAGTTGAGCGGGAGGAATGTGACAGCTGCAGCCCCACCCTCTCAATTTTTGTCACCCCCCCACCCCCTCCCCAACTCAGGAGGGTGAAGAAGGGTCTCAGTTCCCTGAGAAACTGAGCGGTGGGCGGGCCAGGAGCTCCCCACGCCTCCCCGGGCCGTCATCTGTTTCCCACCCTCCTCCGACCGGAGTCCCGAGGCGCTGGCCGCGGTGCTGAAGCAGCGCTCTCCGAGGAGGGAGGAAGGAGGGGCCGGGCCGCGGCGAAGAGGCGGAGCTCTATGAAGCTCTGAGCTGGAAAGGGGGGAGGGGCAGGGCGGCGCCAGCAGGCCCGAGACCCTGGCAGGCTTGAGAGGAGGCAGGAGACTGGAGACAGCCTGGCTAGAGTGGACAAAGGCATCTGGACAATCTTCCTCGAAAGAAACCAAGGTTGTCGTCCTTGTCTTACAAATCCTCTCTCTTCTACCTTGGAGGGACCCTCACCTTGTGTCCTGACCTCAGCCTCGTTCCCAAACCCATCCGAGGAGTGACTGACTTCTAGGCTTTTCTGTCTGCGAAGCCACTAGCTTACAGCCCACAAGACCCCAGGTGAGGGCCTCCTGCCTCACCATGGTGAAGTTGCTGCCCGCCCAGGAGGCAGCCAAGATCTACCACACCAACTATGTGCGCAACTCGAGGGCTGTGGGTGTGATGTGGGGCACACTCACCATCTGTTTTTCGGTGCTTGTTATGGCCCTCTTTATCCAGCCCTACTGGATTGGTGACAGCGTTAACACACCCCAGGCAGGCTACTTTGGCCTTTTCTCCTACTGTGTGGGCAACGTGCTGTCCTCTGAGCTCATCTGCAAGGGTGGCCCGCTGGACTTCTCCTCCATTCCCTCTAGAGCTTTCAAGACTGCCATGTTTTTTGTGGCCTTGGCCATGTTCCTCATCATTGGCTCCATCATCTGCTTTAGCCTCTTCTTCGTCTGCAACACGGCCACTGTCTACAAGATCTGTGCATGGATGCAGCTGGCTGCAGGTGAGCAGGGTTAATGGGAGGGCAGGCAGGGGCCCACCCCCGGCCACAGGGGACGCTGCACCATTCCGCCCTCTGGAGGCTCTTGGTCTCCTTCCCAGCTGTTCCTCTTTATTTTTTTTTTCTCGAAGATTTAATTTTTTAAAGCAATCTCTACATGGGGCTTGAACCTACAGCCCCGAGATCAAGAGTCACATGCTCCACCGACCGAGTCCACCAGGCTCCCCTCAGCTGTTCTCCTTTAGCCCGGCCCTACTCAATGCTCTGTAGAAGCTTCTGAGGAGTAGAGAACTTTAGAATGGTTGAGACCAAAAGGATCGTTGAGATCAAATTGTCCAACCTCCTCATCTTACTGATGGGAACTGAGGTCCAGAGAGGGGGAGTGACTTGCCCAGGAGCGCACAGCTAGTTGATAGGAGGTGTCCTGACTCCCAGGCCACCACATCAGAGGTTGTTGTTGCTCTGAGGAGGAAAAAGAAGGAAGCTTCCATTGTCAGCCATGTGGAAATAGGATCCAGCCCAGGGCAAAATGTCAAGCACATCCTAGATGTCTCCATCTCCCACTTCTGGGGGTTTGTTCTTTCTCTTTATGGATCCCCAGATCCCTGCCCTCACTCTTCCCCTCCCACCCAAAATTGCTCTCAGGGAGATTCTAAAGTCAGTTGTTTATTTGGAGTGTTATGCTGTGACCTTTCCCATAGAAACTTGCATTGAAGTTCTCTCTTTCATGGTGGAGTGAAAGTCTTTGCTCCCTAGTTATAGGTTTCTGTACTTGAGGCAGCAAACGGGAGTGATATTTTGTCATGGGGGGAGTGGTGGTGGTGGCTAGGGTCTTTTATTATTATTTTTAATGTTTATTTATTTTATTTTTTATTTTTTTTTTTAAATTTTTTTTTTCAACGTTTTTTATTTTTATTATTTTTGGGACAGAGAGAGACAGAGCATGAACGGGGGAGGGGCAGAGAGAGAGGGAGACACAGAATCGGAAACAGGCTCCAGGCTCTGAGCCATCAGCCCAGAGCCCGACGCGGGGCTCGAACTCACGGACCGCGAGATCGTGACCTGGCTGAAGTCGGACGCTTAACCGACTGCGCCACCCAGGCGCCCCTAATGTTTATTTATTTTTGAGAGAGAGCATGAGCAGGGGAAGAGTCAGGAAGGGGGGGGAACAGAGGCTCCAAAGTGGGCTCTGTGCTGACAGCAGACAGCTCTATTCAGGGCTTGAACCCATGAACTACAAGATCATGACCTGAGCCGAAGTTTGAGGCTTAACTGACTGAGCCACCCAGGCATCCCAGATGGCTAGGGTCTTTTAAAACTATGGAGGGGTGGGGCACCTGGGTGGCTCAGTCGGTTAAACCTTCGACTCTTGGTTTCCACTCATGATCTCACGGTTTGTGGGTTCAAATCCCACACTGGGCTCTGCACTGACAGTGCGGAGCCTGCTTGGGATTCTCTCTCTTCCTCTTTCTCTGTCCCTCCCCTGCTGTCTCTGTCTCTCTCAAAATAAATAAATAAACTAAAAAAAAATTAAGCAAACAAAAAACTATGTGGGGTAGGTGGCTACTTATGGTGCCCCAAAGCAGGCCTTTCCTGCCCCTTTTTCCTGCTCCTGGCCCAGGCAGGCTTCTCGGTCCCTGGGCCAGCTGCTCCTGTTTTCCTCTAAAGCTCAGGAAGACACGGCCTAAGGCCTTGTCCTTCAGCCCTTGGTCCCTTCCCATCCCAAGGACCATGCACAGACTGCCCATTCTAGGGGAATGTCCAGGGGGCAGTGTGGGGACTTCAGACTAGAGAGCAAACCATCTTGATATCGTTGGTTAGAATGAGAAGTAGTATTATCCATAACAGGGGGAATGGAGTGGGGATCAGAATCCCAGACAACGAAACACATAGATTTAAGACTCTGTCAGAGTTGGAGGGGACCTCAGAGAGCTATAGGTACCCTTCGCCCCCCCCTCCCAAAGATGAGGAATCTGGGAAAAGACTTGGCCAAACCTGTAACAGATCAACTGGCAACTAAGGACCAAGGAGAATTAAGGCAGCAGGTTCCAAGAAACAAGATGTATTCCAAATTCACTTTTATTGAGCCACACATTTACATAAGTATAATGACTTACAAAGCACTTTCACATCTACCCTCTGGAGGAGCCCATCCCTACCTAGTGAGGTGGGCATTCCTCTTATTGATAAGAGGAATAAGAGCCTTATAGATAAGGCTCCTAACGGGTAACTTGACTTTTAGCACAGGTAGTGGTGGACAGAACCTTTGATTCCAAATCTTGTACTCAGGCTACTCACCTGGCTCCAGAGCTGCGTCTGCAATCCACCCACCATCTCCCTCTCTGGTCTCTCTGTATCATGAGCGAGAGGTTGGGACAGGGCTGAGGTAAATCTTGGTGGGCGGTGGGGAGAAGGAGGAGAAATGCAGATGTGGCAGTTCTGGGACAAAGAGGAGTAGAATGGACCCTGGCATGCTTACCAGCTGGTCCTCCATATCAGAGCTATGGGATGCTGGAAACACAACCATTCCTCTCATTCTCCACACTGCCCCCTCCCACAACCTCCTGCAGCAGGTGCCATGTGCTGAACAGGCAGTGCTTGGGAGGGACTACATGGGGGAGGCGTCACCAGGCTATTTGAGTTAGACCCTGCCAGGTCATGGAGCTGGAGACATTGATAGCAGAGGTGGCCAGATGCCATCCCATGAAACATTTACATTGGGAAGAGCAAAAGTGGTGTCATGTTCCATTCTTTGGTGCAGGGGAATGGAAGACGAGCCAAAGGGAGGGATTAAGAGGGGGTCTGCTTTGCAGTCAGCAGCTGGGAGACAGGTCCATTTGAAGATGCCTAAACCAATTAGTTTAACCTTGCCAGGAAGCCTGAGGCCAGGGAAGGGAGCAGGAGAAAGGAAAGAGGATTGATTGGTGCCTGGGCCAGTGGGGGGCTGTAGTTTAACAATGTTAATTGAGCTTCTGGATCCCAGGTATAAGTTGTGTGTGGTTCCAGCTCCTAGAAACACAGGTAGAGCAAGTTGCTTGTCTCTCTGAGTCTTGATAACCTCATCCGTAGGGTGTAGCAACAGCACCTCCCATCACAAGGTTCTTGTGAGGATGGGATGTATACTGCACGTAAAACACCTTGTACGGTTCTTGACACATAGGAGGTGCTCGGCAAATATGAAAAACACAAAAACAGTCAGGATGGGGGGGTGACAAAAAAACTCCCAAATCTTAGTGGCTTAAAACAAAGATTTATTCTTTGCTGGTGGCACAAGCTCACTGAAGATCAGTTGGGGGCTCTTTCACCGTTCTCTTCTGGAACCCGGGCTGATGGAGCACTGGCTGTCATCTGGCTGTCATCACTGCAGAGGGAAAGGGAGCTCTGGAAGGCGTCTCCCCAGAAGTTACATGCTGTGGCCCGGAACCCCACACATTTCCGCTCCCATTTTGTTGTCTAAGGGAAGTCTTATGGCCTTGCCCAACTTGAAAAGAGGGGAGCAAGGAAATCTAACACCGCTATGTACCTGAAATGTTTGTAAACAGCTCTAATGACATTCACATCCCCTGAGGTTGCTTCCATCTGACTTCAATGCTAATAATAATAGCAACAACTGACTTTAATTGGCTGGTTACCATGTACACACTGCAGTAAGCATTTTCTTTCTTTCTTTCTTTCTTTCTTTCTTTCTTTCTTTCTGGTTTAAATGTTTATTTACTTATTTTTGAGGGAGAGAGAGAGAGAGAGAGCAAGCAGAGGAGGGGCAGAGAGAGAGGGAGACAGAGAATCCCACGCAGGCTCCACACTGTCAGCACAGAGCCTGACTCGGGGCTCGAACTCACGAACCATGAGATCATGACCTGAGCTGAAATCAAGAGTCGGATGCTTCACCAGCTGAGCCACCCAGGTGTCCCTACAGTGAGCGTTTTCTATACATGATCACACTTCATCTTCGTAACTCCGCTATGAGTCAGGTAGTATTATCCTGATTTTACAGATGAGAGAATGGAAGTCAGAAAGGGTAAGTAAACTTGCCTGAGGATACCATGCTGGCCTCTGCTTCGACTCCTGAGACATTACAAATGGAGTTGCCCCCCACTGTGCCCAGGTGGATGGGTCAGGTGCTCACAGAGGGTCATGGCACCCATTGTAACAACCTGTTTCCAGGTTGGAGGCCCTGGGCTATTTTCCAGAGATGCTACGGAAGGAGAGGGGGACCAAGGGGAGGAGATGGGGAGAATGGAAAGTCCAGAAGGGAAACTCCTTTCCACAGTGACCCATTCCACTCCTCCGCCCGGGGTTAAGGTCGGGGCCACGGTTGGCACCAAAATTCTGGTCTTACACCAACTGGGGAAGGCCATAGGTTTTACCGAAGAGCTCTGGGAAGGTCCCCCCTCCCCTATGCTAAGTATCTTCCTGAAACACTTCTCATTTTGTCACGAAGTCTGAAATGTCAGCACGAAATACATTCCGCTCTTTGGAGTGATGTCAGTCTGAGAGTTTAGGGAATTAACTTTGAGGAAAAAAAAAAAAAAAAAAAGCTAGGAGCATGTGTTCAGGTCTTGACTCTGCCCTGGGCAACTCACTTGGTTTCTCTGAGACCTCAGTTTTCTAATCTGTAAAATGGGATATTAATACATGGCCTACTTCACAGAACTGTTGTCAGGATCAAGAGGAAAAGGGTACACGAAGTATTTTGGACCTAAAAAGACCTATACGCTTATATGAATTAGCTTGTCCCATGTAAAATCAAAGGCGAGTTGATACATTTAGGCGGGGAGGGGGGAATCCTGATCTTTATAATTTACTGTGCGTTTGATCTGTTGACTTTCCTTGCAAGCGCAAACGGAGCCCAAGGTAGGTAACTGGGTCCTGTGAGGTGTTGCCCCGAGGTGCTCCTGGGTAGGGCACAGCCTCGGAACTGAAGAGCCTCTGGGCCTGTGGAAGGAGGGTGAGGGCTCAGAAGGCGGCACAGAGAATGGAAGGAACCCCCTGCCTGCATGGCGGTTGTGCTTGGGGTTGGCCTTGGTCATATCCCAGGATCGTGTCACATATCTGTGCAGCTAAGGTGGGGTGGTCCTTGGTGGGAGGGCAGGGAGGTGAGGAGAAGGAGGGAAAATGAAATTTTTGCCTGTAAATACTGTCAGTGAAAGCACAGGATGGGATAATTGTAGCTAACACTCGTGAAGCACTAAGTATGTGCTAGGCACTTCTCCAATACTAACTCATTTGCACCTCACTGCAATCCAAACAGGTAGGGCCTACTCATATTCCCACTGTATAGACGAGAAAACTGAGGCCAAAAAAAAAAAGCCTAAGTAGCTTGCTCTGAGTCACACAGCTAGTTAGGAAAGAGCTGGGCTTGAAATCCAGGCAGCCCGTTCTAGTGTTTCCCGTTTTTCCTAGTGAGAGAATTACCTGAAAGAATGATTTTCAAAACAGGGATTCCAGGGGCACCTGGGTGGCTCAGTCAGTCGGGCGGCCGACTTCGGCTCAGGTCATGATCTCACAGCTTGTGAGTTCGAGCCCCATGTCGGGCTCTGGGCTGACAGCTTGGAGCCTGGAGCCTGCTTTGGATTCTGTGTCTCCCTCTCTGCCCCTCCCCCACTCACACTGTCTCTCTGTCTCTCAAAAGTAAACATTAAAAAAAATTTTAACCCCCCCCCCAGGGATTCCTGAGCCCACCCCTGGCCTGGGAATCAGCATTTTAAACAGATATTCCAGGGGATTCTCAAATTTAAGGAAGTATGGACAACTGCAGGGTTATGCACTGAGTTAGGAGGGAGAGACCTATTTGCTTGAATGAAAGGTTCAGGAGGGAAGCAGCCAGAGATGGGGCTGGAAAACTTTGTGTTTTCATTAAATCTAAGATTCCCAAGTTGTGGGACATACCATTATTCTATGTGTGTAAAAAGGAAAAATACTCCTTTTTTTTTTTTAAGTTTATTTATTTATTTTGAAAGAGAGGGAGAGAGGGAGAGCGAGTGGGGGAGGGACAGAGAGAGAGGGAGACAGAATTCTAAGCAGGCTCTGCCCTGTCAGCACAGAGCCTGGTGCAGGGCTCGAACTCACTAACCAGGAGATCATGGCCTGAGCGGAAGTCAGACACTTAACTGAGCCACCCAGGTGTCTCCAAAAGAAAAAAAAATACTTGTAATCAAACCACGGCCTGAAGCTTTCTTATTATTTCAGAGATATCGGAGCATGAGCAAATATACGTCTTAGGAGTGACGAGTTCTCTGGGTCGGGACCAGATTTTGGAGGGGTTTGAAGCCAGAGTAGCCAGTGCCTCGTCAAGTCCAAAGTGAGGGGCACGGCTGAGGGCCTGGTAGGATCACCTGGTGCCATGGCAGAACCTTCCCCGGGTGGAGGAGCTCCACTTTCTGCCTCTATCCCCACCAAGGGCAAGTCACTTTAACTCTTGGATCCTCCATTTTCTCCCCTGTGCTCTACAAGAACGATGGTAGGAGCTGCCCGCCCTCTCAAGGAGGAGGGGAGAGTGACAAGTGGCAACAGTGAGGGGGGGGCGGTAGCAGACTGAGCACAGCCAGCCCGACACCATCTTCACCCCCTCCCGCCCCCTCAGCCACAGGCCTCATGATCGGCTGCCTGGTCTACCCGGATGGCTGGGACTCAAGTGAGGTGCGACGCATGTGTGGGGAGCAGACGGGCAAGTACACGCTGGGTCAGTGCACCATCCGCTGGGCCTTCATGCTGGCCATCCTCAGCATCGGAGACGCCCTCATCCTCTCCTTTCTGGCCTTCGTGCTGGGCTACCGGCAGGACAAGCTCCTCCCCGATGACTACAAGGCCGATGGAAAAGGTAACCTGCCCTGCCCCAGGGAGGTGGGGCTTCCTCTCAGCCGGTTACCAGAGGACTGGTCCCTGGCCCGGGGTTGGGGACGGACACCAAGACCAATTGGACACAGGCCTTGTTCCAGAGGCCAAAAGCCAGTGGGGGGTTGTAAGCTGGCGGCTGATGAGGCAATGAAAGCAGAGGCTGGCTGTGATAGAAGGGTGTCCTCATGCCTCCCCCGCCCCTGACTTCTGTCAGGGTCTCCAGGGCAGAGAACCCTGATCCAGCCTTGGCGGGGGAGGGGGGGGGGGGCGAGGTACGGCCTCCTAGAGAAGGCGGTGCTGGGGCTGGGTCCCCAAGTTCACCGGGAGTCTGCTTGGTGGAGAGAGGAGCGGCCAGTCAGGAGAGGGGCTGCGTTGTTGGGGCAGGAGGAGAAAGGTAGGTGAGGGGACAGATGTGACAGCTCCTGGAATGCATACGGTGGGCGGTCCCTTGAGTTAGAATAGCCTTGGGGTTCTCTGTATGCCATCCTGTTTCAATTTCCTTCTGCCCAAATCCTACCCCTGAGTCACGAGTCAGTTGTAGGAGGACCCGAAGCCCAGACGGATGCTTTAGCCTTTTCTGACTCCTTCCCAACTGACCTTTCTTCCTCTTACGGTACTTTCTGCTCCTGTTTCTCTTTAGGCTCTTCCCCTGTCCCGAGGGGCTTTTTCAGGGCATACGTTTTATCTCGTAGTCATAGGGCAAGGCCTGTCTCACCTGCTTGTGAATCCAAAATTGCCCACTTTCCCCACAGTCTTCGCCCCATTGACCTGAACTAGAAGGGGGAGGCCAACTCCTTTGCCCCCCCCCCCCCCCGGGGACCAAGGACGCTTCCCAGATGAGGAACTTGAAGCCCGGAAGGGAGACCACCCCACCCCCCCCCGCCCCCGCCCCCGCCCCAGGGCTACACAGAAAGGTGGTGGCAAAAATGACCGGACTCTGGCTCAGCCCAGGGCCCACTGCTCCATAAGGAAGTCATTAGACATCTCATCCTCCTCCGGCAGTGGAAGACTCACACGCCTAAGTTATAGGATGAAAGCTGAAAACCAAATTGCTAGAATGAGCTGGACGAAGGAGGAGAGGAGAGAGAGGTGTCTTTCTGTTGAAGGAGGGGGCCGATAGTTCCTAGGTTCTGGGAACACTTAAGGTCTGGGTGCCTTGAAAACCCCGTGAGGGGAAGGGACATGGGACTAGTATGTACTGAGGCTTTGCCATGTGCAGGAGTGATGTAAGGTTTGTTCCCGGGGGCCATCTTTGTTTAATCTGCACAGCAGCCCTGGGGGGACGGGTTGGAGGTGGGGGGTCCAGCAGCATCTATCTGCACAACCAGCACGTTCTCCAGCGATGGAGGTTTTTCCAAGGGAGGCTGCAGCAGGGGCCGCCGCCGGAGGCATTTTGTTCAGCTTTTAGCCCCCAGGCGGGGCCAGCCTTAAATCTGGAAACACTGCAGAGAACATTTTTGTAGTCCTCATTTGCATTCTTTCCTTTTCACAAGGGATTCTTTTAGCTGGAAAGAAATGTTACGCGCGGCGCGGAGTTCCCTTTACAGCGCTCCCTTGTGGAGAGATGGGTTTGTCTCTTTGACCCTTTATTTACTGATCAAAATGTCAGTTGGCTTTCCTCTCTTTCCTTGTCCCTCTTCTCTTGTGCCCCATGCACCTGTTTCAATCTTTTCAGATTCTTTTCTCTCCATATTTTAGTTCCCTCACTATCATGCAGGATTCAATTTATCCTTCTTGTTTATAACCTGTTAGGAAACACCCACATAACCTTTCTGAACACACCTAACGACTTAGTGAAGTAGCTATCGCTGCTGTCAAAGCACAAAATTGGGTCAGAAAAGCAGAATTAAAAAAAATTTTTTTAATGTTTATTTAGTTTTGAGAGAGACAGAGAGACAGAGCATGAGTGGGGGAGGGGCAGAGAGAGGGAGACACAGAATCCGAAGCAGGCTCCAGGCTCCGAGCCGTCAGCCCAGAGCCCGACGCGGGGCTCGAACTCACAGACCTCGAGATCAGGACCAGAGCCGAAGTCAGATACTTAAGCGACTGAGCCACCCAGGTGCCCTGGCAGGCAGAATTTGAGTCCCAGTTCCTCCAAGTCGCTTTCCTCAAGGTGCTTTCCACGAAAAAGCAGGACACTAACTCCTGCTCTGCCACCTCTATTATTGTGTGACATGAAGGAAACGATGCCAAGTGAAGGCTTGCATGAGTACATGGTTGCTGATCCGCTCGTTAAGGGTTAAGGAGGCAGAGGAGAACGAGTGTGGGCTTTGGAGTCAGACCTGGTTTTAAAACCGGGGCTCCGTTGTTAACCAGCTGTGACTGCGGACATTACTCAACTTCGCTGAGCGTTTCCTCATCCGAGCCCCGGTTTTACAGGGTGAGGTGGCAGGTTTCTCCTCGGTTGAAAAAATTACCTACTTCAAAAGATCGTGCTCAGGCACAAGACAAGGATGTCTGCCGTTGGCACTGCAGTTGAAGAGCAGACTGGAGGTTATAGCCAGGGTAGTTAGGCAAGAAAAAGAAGGAAAAGAAATCCAGTTTGGAGAGGACGAAGTACAACGATCTCTACTAGCAGATGACATGATTTTGCATATGGAACGTGCTAAAGAATCCACTAAAAAACCATGAAAGGTAACATGCAACATTAGCGAGGCTGCAGGATATAAACAATATACAAAAATCTATCACATTCGTACACACAGCAGTGAACAATCTGAAAATGACTTGTCAGAAAGCAATGTCACTTATAATAGCATCAAAAAATAAAATATGTAGGGGCGCGCCTGGGTGGCTCAGTCGGTTAAGCGGCCGACTTCGGCTCAGGTCATGATCTCGCGGTCCGTGAGTTCGAGCCCCGCGTCAGGCTCTGTGCTGACAGCTCAGAGCCTGGAGCCTGTTTCGGAATCTGTGTCTCCCTCTCTCTGACCCTCCCCTGTTCATGTTCTGTCTCTCTCTGTCTCAAAAATAAATAAACGTTAAAAAAAAAATAAAAAATAAAATAAAATATGTAGAAAAAATTTAACAAAAGAAGTGTGAGGTTTGTACATGAAAATTAAAAACCGTTGTTGAAAGAAATTAAAGGCCTAAATCAATGGGAGCATCCACATTCACGGATGAGAACACTTCATATTACAATGGCAATGCTCCCCAAACCGATCTACAGATTCAGTGCAATCCTTATCAAAATCCCAGCTGGCTTTTTGCAAAACTTGGTAAGCTGATCCTCAAATTCGTATGGAAACGCAAGGGACCCAGAAGAGCCAAAACAATCATGAAGAAGAACACAAGTTGGAGGACACACATGCCATGATTTCAAAACTTACTACAAAGCTACAGTAATCAAGATGGTGTGGTCCTGGCATGAGGATAGACATACAGATCAATGGAATAAAATTAAGAGTCCAGAAATGAACCCAAACATAAATGGCAAACTGATTTTCAACAGAGATACCAAGACCATTCAATGGAGGGAAAGATTAGTCTTTTCAGTAAATGGTGCTAGAACAACCAGACATCTACACGCAAAAGAATGAAGTCGGGGACATCTTGGGTGGCCCAGTTGGTTAAGTGTCTGGTTTTAGCTCAGGTCATGATCTCAAAGTTCATGGGTTCGAGCCCCGGGTTAGGCTCTGTGCTGACAACTTGGAGCCTGGAGCCTGCTTCAAATTCTATGTCTCCCTCTCTTTCTCTGCCCCACCCCTGCTCTCACTCTGTAAACATTAAAAAAAAAAAAAGAATGAAGTTGGACTGCCCACCTCACGTGATATATAAAAATCAACTGAAAATGGATCAAAGACCTAAATGTAAGATGTAACATTATAAAACTCTTAGAAGAAAACATAGGTATAAATCCTTGTGACCTTGGTTTAGGTGGTGGTTTCTTAGACGTGACACCTAATACACAAGCGACCAAAGGAAAAAATACGTATAAATTGGATTTCATAAAAAATGAAAGCTTTGGTGTGTCAAAGGACACCAACAAGAAAGTGAAGAAAAGACAACCCACGGAATGGGAGAATGTATTTGCAAATCATAATTCTAATATCCAGAATATAATAAGGACTCCTACAACTTGACAAATAAAACTACGAAGAACCCCATTTTTAAAGTGGGCAAAGGATTGGAATAGACATTTCTCCGAAGAAGATATCCAGATTGCCAAGACAGTTGACATCACTAGTCATGAGGAAAATGCAAATTAAAACCACAATGAGCTATTACTTCACATCCCACTAGTATGGCTGATAAAAAAAGATGAACAGTAACAGGTGTTGGTGAGCACGTGGAGAAAGGAACTCTCATAACCGCTCGTGAAAAGGTAAAATGGCGCTATTGCTATAGAAAACAGGACGGCAGTTCCTCAAATGGTTAAACATAGAGAGAGGCGCTCTGTGACTCACACATTTATTCCTAGACACGTAGGCAAGAAAACTGCAAACACGTTTGCACAAAAACTTGGATATAAACCTTCATAGCGGCGCGAAAGCCAGGAAGTGGAAACCAACCAAACGTGAGTCAGCTGATGACCTGGATAAATAATATGTGTAAATCTACACAGTGGAATATTATTCAGCTATAACAAGTACTGATAATTGCTACCAAGTGGATGAACCTTGAAGACGTTGCAAGTGAAAGGAGCCATACACAAAAGACCATGTATTGTATGATCCCACGTATTTACTTATTTTTAAAGTTTATTTTCATTTATTTTTTAAATTTTGTTTATTTTTATTTATTTCCAAAGCTTATTTATTAAAAATAAATTTTTAGAGAGAGGGTGCGCGTGTGAACACACAAGTGGGAGAGGGGCAGGAGAGAGAGAGAGAGACTCCCAAGCAGGCTCTGTACTGTCGGTGCAGGGCCTGATGCGGGGCTTGAACTCACGAACTTCGAGATCATGACCTGAGCCGAAGTCGGACGCTTAGCCAATTGAGCCACCCGGGTGCCCTAACAGCGGTGATGGCTGCACAGCCCAGTGATTATCCTGGAACCCACCAATCTGTACGCTTTGAGTTGAGATTTTGTGTTAGTGAATTGTATCTCAAAAAAACCCAAAAGACTGTGTGAAGGATTAGGTAGTGGGTAAATCACTAACAAAGCCTACATGTTATTCGGGCGATTAACAAATGTTAGTTCTCTCCTCGTTCTGCCCTTCCGGTATCTCTACTTCTTACGTAATCACCTGCCCGACCACTAACAGCTCCTGGGCTCCAGGTGCCCACTGACACCCCCAGACACTGGGGGGACAGCGGTGAGGGAAGCGGTCTGATTGGACCTTACCGTCTGATAAGGGACACCACATACAAAATGCAGTTACAAGCTGGTACACGTTATGAACAATAACGACAACAACAATGCGACCCTTCTCGAGAGTGAAGAAATCTGATCTGGTTTGGCGAGGGAGTTGTGTGCAGGGAATTATCCTGCAAACGAGGCCCGGGTGTATACACATAACGCTCTCTTTTTCATTGCAGAGGAAGTCTGAAGCAGCTGGCGTGCTGGTGAGTAATCCCACCGTTGGGTGGTCTGCCTGCCTTGGGGAAGGGCTGTGGCCTCCTTGGCCTCCGGTTCCTTACAGACTCATCAGGCGGAATGGCCCGTGGGGCCGGGTGTAGGGGCTGGTTTAGGGCCTGGGGGGAGGAGCAGTGACTCCCGCAGGAGCTAGCTGGCATCTGAGACCCCCTTGTTTTACCTCTTACTTGAGAAGTGGAAAAAGAAGAGGAAGAAATAATGTCGAACAGCCAGGTGGTTTCATAAACTCATCTTTCTGTGGAGCCTGGCAAACAAGAACAGACTGCTTAGAAGTCATTCTTGTTGGGGCGCCTGGGTGGCGCAGTCGGTTCAGCGTCCGACTTCAGCCAGGTCACGATCTCGCGGTCCGTGAGTTCGAGCCCCGCGTCAGGCTCTGGGCTGATGGCTCAGAGCCTGGAGCCTGTTTCCGATTCTGAGTCTCCCTCTCTCTCTGCCCCTCCCCCGTTCATGCTCTGTCTCTCTCTGTCCCCAAAATAAATAAACGTTTAAAAAAAAAAAAAAAAAAAGAAGTCATTCTTGTAAATGGGGCCCTTATTTTCAGAAAGACTTTAAGTGATCTGTAAGAAAAATAGAAAACCTAATTAAAAAAAAATAAAAGTCACAGTCACAGAGAGGAAAACAAATATTCTAGAAAGCTAGGCTAATAGAAATACTACCTTCCTTATGCTTCCTGATAGCCAACACAAAAAGAAAAATATGACTTTAAGTGATTTTAACGTCTGGTTGAAAAGGAAGCACAACATATCAATTTCCTTATTGCCTTTCAGGTTTCCAAAATGTGATTTAACAAGAATATTAAGGAACACATTAAAAAAATATAAAAGCCCATCATAGTATCACCTTCCAAATAGCTGCCATTTATTGAGGACCTACAGCAGGCTAGACCCTTCATGTGGGTAGACGGGGTTATCTCCATTAAAAAGAAACTTTTTTTAACGTTTATTTATTTTTGAGAGACAGAGAGAGACAGAGCATGAGCATGGGAGGGACGGAGAGAGGGGGAGACACAGAATCCGGAGCAGGCTCCAGGCTCTGAGCTGTCAGCACAGAGCCCGATGCAGGGCTCGAACTCAGGGAGTGCAAGATCATGACCTGAGCCAAAGTCGGCTGCTTAACCGACTGAGCCACCCAGGCACCCTGGGGTTATCTCCATTTAAACGATTTTAATTTCTGCAAAGTACCTTCCAGTCCTTGCCCACATAGATATACTTTTTTCAATAATAATAAACATTGCCCGCCCCCCCTATTAGGTGATTCTCTAATATGCATACAAGCTACCTGGGAATCTTCTTAAAATGGAAATTCTGATTCAGGGGCCATAGACACTGTTCCTAACCTGCTTCACATAATGGCTACACTTTGAATAGCAAACTGTTAGAGTGTAAACATTTTCTCATTTTTTTTTCAATGTTCATTATTAAAGTTTTTTAAAGCCACAAACTCCATAGCCCTGGTGTCTCTTTAATGGCTAAACACGACCTTGGTTATTAGCCATTGAGGATTGTTCTCACAGATAAGAACGTGTTGCTTCTGTTGATAAATTCTGGAGTAGAATTGCTGAATCAAACGTAACCACACCTCTATGTCTTTTCACCCATTTCTCCTATCCCTCCGTATCTGTGAGCTTGTCATTGTTTTTAATGTTTATTTATTTATTTTTGAGAGAGAGAGAGAGAGAGAATTCCAAGCAGGCTCTGCAGTGTCAGTGCAGAGCCAGAGGTGGGGCTTGACCTCATGAACAGTGAGATCACGACCTGACCCCAAATTAAGAGTTGGATGCTTAACCAGCTGAGGCACCCAGGCACCTGTTTTTCTGTTTTTTACCTTTCAAGATTCCACAGAGATTATATGCAGTAGTTGTCTTTTTCTGACTTCTTTCACTTAGCATAATGGCCTGGAGGTCCATTCATGTTGTCACAAATGGCAAAATTTCATTTTTTTTTTTTTTTTTTGGCTGAATAACATTCCAATATGGATATATAGCACAATTTTTTTTAAGTTAATTATTTCATTTTGAGAGACAGAGACAGCACAAGTCGGGGAGGGGCAGAGAGAGAGAATCCCAAGCAAGCACCGCACATTCAGTGTGGAGCCCAGCACAGGACTGGAACCCACGAAACTGTGAGATCATGACCTGAACTGAAACCAGGAGTCTGATGATGCTGAACCAACTGAGCCACCCAGGAGCCTCTATAGCACAGTTAAAAAAGTTTTTTTTTTATTTTATTTTAGAGAGAGTGAGAGAGCATGCAAGCGAGGGAGAGGGGCAGAGAGAGAGAGAGACAGAGACAGAGACAGAGACAGAGACAGAGAGGGAATCTTAAGTAGACTCCACGCTCAGTGTGGAGCCTGATGTGGGGCTCAATCCTATAACCCTGGGATCATGACCTGAGCTGTAGTCAAGAGCTGGGTCCTCAATCGACTGAGTCCCCCAGGCATCCCTCCATAGCACAAGTTTTAAGTGTCCACTGATGGACAGTTAGGCTGTAAATAGCGCTGCCATGAACATGGGAATGTGTACGTCTTTTTGAATTAGTATGTTTTTCTTTGGATAAATACCCCCAAATGGAATTGCTGGACCATATGGCAGTTCCATTTCTAATCTTTTGAGGAACCTCCATACTGTTTTTCATAGTGGCTGCACCAACTCAAAATCCCATCAACAGTGCACAAATGTTCTCTTTTCTCCATAACCTTGCCAACACTTTTTTTTTGTCTTTTTGATAGTAGCCTTTCTAAAAGGTGTGAGGTGATATTGTGGTTTTGATTTGCATTTCCCTGAGAGTTAATGATGTTGAGCATCTTTCTATGTGCCTGTTGGCCATCTGTATGTTTTCTTTGGGAAAATGTCTATACAGATCCTTTGCTCATTTTTTATGTATTTATTTATTTATATTTATTCATTTTTTTCTTTGCTCATTTTTAGATTGTTTTCTTGCTATTGATTCATAGGAGTTCTTGATATATTTTGGATACATGATTTGCAAATGTCTCCTCCCATTCAGCAGGCTGCTTTTTTATTGGTTGATGGTTTACTTTTCTGTGCAGAGCTTTTTGTGTAGTCCCACATGGTTTTTTTTTTTTTTTTTCGCTTTTGGTGTTAAATTCAAAAAATCGTTGCTACGATCTATGTCAAGGAGCTTACCGCCTGTGTTTTCTTCTAGCGGCTTTATGGTTTCAGGTCTGATATTAAAGTCTTTAACCCACTTTGATTTAACTTTTGTGTATGGTGTAAGGTAGTGGGCCAGTTTCCCGGTACCATTTTGTGAAAAGACTGCCCTTTCCCCATTGTATATTCATGACTTGTCATAAATTGGCCACAGCATAGGTTCATTTCTGGGCCGTCTACTCTGTTCCACTGATCTGTGTGTCTGCTTTTATGCCAATACCATACCATTTTAAGTTTTGTAATATAGGTTGAAATCAGGGAGCCATGATATCATGCTTCTAGCTTTGTTCTTGCCCAAGATTGCTTTTTAAAAATGATACTTTATTTATTTAAGAGACCTGAGTTTTTACTTGATGCACATTGACGATTATTTTATACACTAACGAAATTTGCCTGTCTGGGTAGGGCTGAATCAAAACGTAAGCTTCCGGGGGCATAGGGCGCATACATGGGGAATTTGGTTTTGCTTGGCTTTCTAAAAGTGTCAAATTTTATACTCTTGCAATTTTTTTTTTTTAATACCACAGGTCATCTATTTCCCTGACAATGGAAAATTAAGGAATCGAATTCTTCAGCGATAAAAACTTGTTCCGTCCACGCTTCCCTGTTCCTGGCCACTATAGGTCTGATACCCTGAAGCCTTTCACTATAGGATTAGAACCTGACACTCTCCTGAGACAAGACCTCCTACTGTATGCAGAACACTTTCAGGAGGAGAACTACAGTGACCCACATTAAAGATATTCAGAGACATGGGCGGTACTCTCCTGACGGGGCCCCAGTTCTCATCGTATCCCCTTCATACCGGCGGGCGATCACGTTACTCCCTGGAGGCCTCTCCTCTGGAAAATGAGAGGGCTGAGTCCACGTCTCAGGGCTTCCCAGGTCCGAGTCTTGAGAGCCTGAGGATACATTCGTTTGCAGGCACACCAGACACTGCCACCCAGCTCTCAAAGGGCAGCTGAGGGAGAGGCGGTTGTCATGCCAGATCTTTTCAGGTTGGGGCTTAGGGGGTCCTTTGCTTCTCCTTTCTTAACTGTTTTCTTATTGATGATCAGAGGTGGGTAAGGAATGGAGGGGCCACCAGAACCCAAATCTATCAGGAAGCCCTATAAAGACTGGGTGAACATAGGATCTAAAAATTTAGGAGAGTAAACTCCATTACGTTCCCTCATAGTGCCCACTCCGACCCAATCAGGACTGGCCCCCAGCTTAAGAAATTTGTTACTTGTGTCCAAGTAATTTGTTTTAGTAATAGATTACATTTCTTGTAAGAACAAAACCAAACGACTTTGGATTTGGCACTCAATGGTGTATCTTTTGCCAGCCTCCAGAGGGGAGCTTGATTTAGGGAATACCTCCTTGTAGCAAAGATGACAGGTTCTTTAGGCTATTCCCTGCCTGGAAATGGTACCTAGAAACAGGGCTTGCTGATTATCTGCAGTGGATAATCCTGAGAGGTAGGTAGTTTTTCCTGGTCTTGCGCATTTACTCAGTGAAGAGAAAATGTAGCTGCTGGTAGAGGAGGGGAGGTAAACACAGAACGAATCTGTAATGGATCTTGTTACTTGATCAAGGAGCAGTCACTGATACAGTAAAGTTTCTCATTCCTGGGCTGTAAGGGCACTTTTTTTTTTTTTTAAAGTGAACTCTGCCTTCCAACATGGGGTTTGAACTCATGACTTTGGCAAGAGTCCCATGCTCGCTTTTTAACCAATGCCCTGACAACCTACCCAGTCAGTGAGGTTTCTTCTACAGTTCAGATGGATTTGGAATGAGCACCCCAGCATCGTCCTGTTGTTGGTAATGGGAACTATTGGAGTGAGACTTAAGAACAATCATATTCAGAGGTGCCTTAGTGGCTCAGTTGGGTAAGCATCTGACTCTTGCTCTTGGCTCAGGCCTTGATCTCAGGGTTGTGAGTTCAAGTCCCGTGTTGGGTACTACACGTGAAGCCTACTTAAAAAAAAAAAAATCCCATTCATATTTTCTTGTGTTGATAAAATTATTTCAGTCAGGCATTTACTTTATGCAAACTTGATGAACAGAATTTGACAATTTTTGTAGCTTAGTGCCTTTCTACTTTACATCCATTTATTTCTCATAATTTTACTTTTCATATGAAAAGAAACATTTCTAAGTCTACCTTCTCAAAATTTCTCACAATGGCAACCATGGTGGTCCACAGAAGCTTCTGGGGAACTTAAGGAGCATCTGCCAATAGCCTGCACCTTGCTCTTGCCAGGAACAGCACGTTTCACGAAAGCAGGAGTCGGTTTACTAATGACCAGTCCTGGGGAAGGATCTGCAAATCTGTTTAGGAGTCAGCCAGCATTTCACCTTTTGCTTGATCTTCAAAGAAACTCAGAATTCAACCTCTCCAATCACAGTTATGATTTTGGTTGAAAGCTAGTAACTGCTTATCAGCTCAAGTGGCTTTACCTTAAACTCCTAAGGGCACCTTGAATCTCATCTTTGAAAGTACATAGAAAATCAATAAAATCAGCACCTGTCTAACCAAGTTGCCTTCTCACTTGCCTCTGCCTTGGGCTGGGGCGTAAGGATGGTTGTGATGCCCAAACTTCACCAGGGACTAGGCCTGGGCTGACATGGTCAAGAGAGGACTAGTCATTTAGATCTGAGATGCTAACTGGATGGATATCTTAAATGCTTTGTCTTACATCCCTGTATTAGTTACCTGTTGCTGCATACAGAGCACATTACCACAGAACTCAGTGGCTTAAAACGTTTCTGTTTTTGTGGGTTAGGGATGTCTCTGTCTCAAGGTTTCTCACAGGGCTGCAATTAAGCTATTGGGATCTGCCTCCAGACTCAGAGGTTGTCTGCAGGATGCAGACTGTGGGCCTCCCCATACTGCTACTCACATGGCGGCTTGCTTCCCCAGAAAGAGTTCCAAGACAGAACGAGAGAGGGGGACAGAGAAGACAGCAGGCACAGCCCTTTGTAACCCAATCGTAGAAGTAACATCTGTCACTTTTGCCTTGATCTGTTAAAAGTCACTAAGTCCAGCCCACAATCAAGGTGAGGGGATTACAAAAATGTGTTCGTATCCGTGTGGGAATCACTGGAGTCTTTTTAAAAGTTGCTTTTTAAGTTACTCGTTATTTTCTGCTGCAATGGGCACTTCCCAGAATGGTTTATTGAAACAAAGGTTAGAGTCCAGTAACCTTACATGCTGATGGATACGTATTTGTTTTGAAATAAATTGCTGAAGATCAAACAAGGGCTCTGACCCTCTAAACTCACCCCTCTTTGTTATTGAACCTCAAGAGGATTTATAGTAAGGCCCACTAACTTATTAAATTTTTTTTTAACATTCATTTTTGAGACGGAGAGAGCATGAGCAGGGGAGGGGCACAGAGAGGGAGGCACAGAATCCCAAGCAGGCTTTAGGCTCTGAGCTGTCAGCACAGAACCCGATGCAGGGGGCTTGAACCCACCAAGAACCGTGAGATCATGACCTGACCTGAAGTCAGCCACTTAACCAACTAAGCCACCCAGGAGCCCCTAGCGTTCACTAATTTCTAACACTGATGGTCCTCTCCTCTGTATTCAATAAATCCAAAGCAATCAATGCAACGTCTTAAAGGCACAACTTCTAGGAGCATAGCTCAAATGCAGGCAGCCGGTGCACTTCTAGAACATGGTCCAGTTCTGCCAATTGTTATTGTATTAAAATGGGCAAAAACTAGATCTGCATTAAGGACAAGATTATGATAAAAAAAAGCCTCCTCCCTTATAAGGAATGGTATGGCCAGCAACACAACTACATACTAACGTAAACTTGCTTAATTCGTTAAAACTTCTAAACACTTAACATCATCTTCAATCTTCTGGCTTTTTAACGGGGATATTTGATATCACAAGGACTTGGTGTGGACTGGCATTTGTGCAAAGACATAAAGACAAACGCACATCATGCGTGTAGTTTTTAAATTCCAACTTTTAAAAACAGGACTTTAGTGACAGAGACAAACCTCCTCCTCAATAGGTCTCAAGGTTCAGAAAGTATCTTCATGTAATATATACAAGTTTATATATTTAATCCTCATATACTGAAGACTATGCAAGCGATGTTGATACTAATACCTTGCCAACTGCAAAGGCACCACGTTGGCGGGCAAAACACAAAGAACTGACGACTATTCAAGCTTCTTTGGTGTCATTAGGCCTTATTTCTGGAGTAAATGTAATTCTGGTTCTATTATCAATAAATCATCCATTTTCTATGAGACAGTCATCCAACAGCAAATGCCTTTCCTCAGAAGGGCAGACTGTTAGATTCCACAGGTTTCACAAACAAAAGAATGGGCAGTAATACAGTCTTGTAACCTGGGCCTGCTCTGGGGCAGCTAAATGGTTCCCCTGTGGACACTCAGGGCAAATGAAGAGTGAAAAGCAGGGGTCCGGGGAGGGGGATGGTTTAACTCCCATCTCCGTTTGCTGGTTCTTTTGAGATTGCGACAAGCTCTCCTAGGACAAGAGCAATGAAGTTTTCCAAAACCCTCTGAGCTCTAGGCCCATACATTTGACACAAGGCCTAGTGAGACTGCCTAGACTGGTCAGTCCAGTAAACCAACACATTGGTTTGAGGAATTCTGGTTTAATTCGTTTAGGTTGTTTTTTTAAACAGGTTACATTCTCTTCTGGGCAACACTACAATATGAACACACCACACAGGTCTTCAGCATGATGTAATTAAATTCACTAGGACAGTTTATGTAGTTCAGGGGTGGGGAAGGACTTTCTACTGAATAACGTTAACAAACATAACAATGAAAGGCAAATAAAAAATTGGAAAAGTATGTGATGGAAAATGATAAAAATGCATCATCTTTAGTATATAACAAATCCTTACCACATAATCAAATAGGGAAGCATGCCAACATAGAGCTGGGTAATGGAGGTAGATAACCAAATAAAAATGGCCAAAAACCCATGAAACAAGTTTCTGACTTCACTAGTCATCCAATCTGCAAATTGAAACAAGACACTCCTGTTTTTTTTGGCACTCAAACTGGGTATCAGGAATAAAATGAGTGTGGGGACGCCTGGGTGGCTAGTCGGTGGAGTGTCCGACTGGCTCAGGTCATGATCTGTTTGTGAGTTTGAGCCCTGCACAGGGTTCACTGCTATCAGCACAGAGCCCACTTCAGATCTTCTGTTGCCCCCTCTGCCTCTTTCCCACGTGTGCTCTCTCAAAAATAAAATAAGTCTAAAAAAAAGATTTTAAAAAAGGAATAAAATGAGTGCGATCCTAACAGGCCCATCCAAAGACTGCTAGTCACAGCCAAACAGTCCGTTTCCCACAGAAGTTATGGGACATTCACTACAAGCCATAAAAATGTGCTTACAACCTGGCCCAGCCATTCCATGTCTAAGAATTTGTGCTAAGCAATAAATCAGATGTGTATGAGAGCCTGGGCACAATAGGGTTTGTCATGCCAGTGCCTTAGGCAGAGTTCACAAATCTTTGGCGTTCTGCATCTACAATGATTGTAATCGGAGGCCGGGGTGGGAAAGACATTACCACAAATATTCTGGGAAAATACTATTGGATATAGGGAATAACAATTTTCTTAAAACTTCCCAAAATGTACTGTTAATCTCACCTACCCCCAATTTAAAGATAGAAGCAAAGCTACAAATGACATAAAGTGGCATGTGTTCAAGCTATACAATTTCACTGCTTAAAGTACAAAAAGCATAGTCAACCAATCCTTTCCTCCCTCCTGAAGGTTGGCTCAGACCAACTTGGGCAACAAATGAACAGAAATGCTCTGGAAACATGTAGGTTATTAAATAATTTGTTTATTGTACTGCATTTATAAAGAAAACAGACAATGCACCTGATAGAAAGAATAAAAATGCATTTGGGGTTTTAACTGACAGCAATAGAAATCCTTTAGTAAGATCATGGCAATTTGACAGTATTATGATTAAGTTCAATAAAGGTACATGGGGTACTTGGAAGATCAATTTCTATAGCTGCCTCTTTCTACGGCTTCTAATTCATCTGGCTCCTTAAATGACAGGGGGAAAAGCCCTTATTTGGAGGGAAAACATGTCCAAGAAAGAAGTTATAGGTTCTCTCTTCTTAAAATTTCTTTTTACATCAATTGTTAAAATGGGGCCTTCTATTTGTGTTTTGGTTATTTTACTTTAATATCATCACCAGAATTCCTGTAATTCCACAATTGTTATTTTACAGTGTAGAAAAGAATTCAGTTCTAGTCTGCTATTGCTTTAGATGTATATATCGCTGAAAAGCCAAAGTGGATTAGAAGTGCCGAAGGATTTTCCCTGCCGTTGTTGGATACAATCTATTTTCTTTATTCTTGATAGGTGCATAGACAGCCTCAATTAAAATTCTTTCTACAGGAACATGTCTGATTTCAGGACTACCCAATCAAGGATCCGATGAATGGCTGGCCATCGGTGCTCAGGGTTCTAGGTTTATGAGTTAAATGGATTGCATAATTGCACCATGTTTTCCTTTGCTGTTGTTGGTGGAAAAATGGCAGAATCTGGACTCCAATTTCCTGTATTGAGGGTCAGCTACCTGAAAGTCTCATCAGCAGCTTTGCTAGTAGAG